AGATCTACCAGCATGCGCAGCAGTCAGAAACAATGAACGTCAGTGTATGGTTTAATGGGACATACAGGAGATTTTTATGGCTGCTTTTCAGATTTATGATCATGTAAAGCTAGAATTTCTCAGGGCCACTAATGATAGTATTCTGAGAAGAGAACAGGCTATGAAATACAGCTCTTCTCAGTTTTGTGTGTAATGATCTTTATATTATTTATGAATTACTATAACTCCTTACACTAACTTTCTTTTTGTATCAAAATGATTCATTTGAGCTAAAAAGACCCAAAAGTCCCAATTTTCTAAAACAGACTGAGCTCAGTGCTCAAAGAATATACAACTAGGAAGAAAACAGGAACAAACGCCTTTCATTCAAATTATCAATGAAAAAACAGACTTATCTCCATGTGTGAATTTTCAGCCAGTAGGTGGACTACAGCTTATTGAGACTGGGAAAGGGCAGGAACAGCAACAGACCCAGTGAGCTGAGAGAGGGGGGAAGCAAAAAATAAAGCAGAGAAGAAACACAAACGGAAGTGGGGGGAAGAAAGTCCAGAGAGTGCTCAAGTTCCTCTACAGGAAAATGCCATTGAAACCATATCAAGTTTGCTGAATAAGTGTGTGAGAGAATTACTGGCATATAAAGCATACGATTTGGTAATGGGCTTATGAGGGGGCTCACTCACTGTTTCAATAAACCCCCAAAGCCATGACTGAGCTAGGCTTGCAATACAAACACACCCCGTTCCTTCAGTTTATCTGAAAGACACATCTGGAGTCTATCAACTCCAGCAGCAGCCCCCTTTCTGTTTCCACTCTCCAGCACGCTTAACCCCTTCATCACCCGCTCCACCCCTTAATGTCATGCACTCTCATTAGATGATCGTTGCCTAACTGGGGGCCAATCAATGGCGTGTGCAGGAAAACATTCTAACCCAAATGTTCATTTTTCTGTGAGGGAAAATGAGACTGAATGGTATAATCTGAACTTTGTCTTACCCAGACTGGTCTAGACAAAAGGGCTCCATGCCATGTCCGCACATTCTCCACTGTTTTTACATGCTATAGTGTTGTCCTCCTCTGCTTTGTTCCCACTCATCAAGGTAAATTGCTTAGCCTATGTGGAAATAATGATAATTTTCCGCTAAGAAAAACAAACTCAGACTTATATAAGACAAACTGCAGGAGTGTGCTTTCCATCTCTCCCTCACTCTCCCTCTTTCCTCCCTCACTCCCCAGTCACCATACCATCTTTAGCCATCTTGGCTCCACTTCCCCTGACTCAGATGGTAAAGTTGTTTAAGTTGGACTGCTTCCCCAGCTGCTCAGAATGGCAGAGGCCATTTCAAGGTCGGTTCCAGGGAGGCAAAGACTGAGTGGCCCATCTCTCCTTGAGTGGAAGTGAGAGGGTAAAAAGTAATGAACTGGCCTTGCTTTATGAACTATAATGTGATAATGGTGACTATAATGCATTTTTTAAAACATATCTGCACATTTTCATGACCTGTGTGACTTAATGGTTGCATGTTTCTGTGGAAACTTCCTTTTGTTTTTGTTTTGTTTTTTTGCTCTATAAGCATAAGTTACAAGCAACTCCTTATTTTCTGCTCTTGAAATAAAGCTGTTATAAGTCAACAGGACATTTTTATATTCTTGCATGATATTGTGCAACCTCTGTAACGCAACAAAATAAAAGTACAGTCATGCCAAGTAGATTCATATTGGAGGGATCATCTCAGACTCTTGTTGAAAAAGTCTGTCATACTGCCAGCACCTTAACCTCCTAACCAGTCCTAACCACAAGGCTTCCAAACCTGTCCACTGCAAGCACCCTGCTGTTCCATCATCCATCATCATCACTGGCCTCTGCTCTCCCTCTCTGCTCCCTGCTCCCTCTGAACAGACCTGGTAATGAGGGCCTCTTGTGCCCTGCCTGCCTGTCCTGTGTCCCATGGTGCAGAGGGGCCCGGTTGGACAAGAGCCAGAGTGTCTCTGCCCTCTTTGCTCATTATTCTCATTACTTTGCCTCAGATCATTGTGGAACATGCTGCTGGGAGCTGTCCACAACTTCTAAAGGTCCCAACTTGTTAGTGGAGCTTCTAGCTCCCTTCAAAGAGGGTGTGCACAGAGGTGGAGGTAGCTTAATAGGTACTCGGGTACATAATCAAAGGCCTGATGGAGTGTATGAGTGTTACTTACAGTATGTTGCATATAGCAAGCACTGCCACAGAAGCAAGTTTTGATTCTACTGGTATTTCAGCCCAAATGTAGGAAAGAAACAAGATATTCTAAGATCCAAATGTAGATGTTGGATGGCAAACCTATTTAAAAGAGCTACAAAAACACAGTAGTCAAGTAAGAGGGCAAAAACAAACACGGCGAAATTGCTCCTTTGCACTTGGGTGGTTTGGCAGGTTATGAAGGCAATAGTGGCTTTGAGGAGGTTTGTCCCAATGAAAGGGCTAACTGTGTAGATTGCTGCACTGTCTGGTCCAGGCCTGGAGGAGGGTGGCCTGCCCTCAAGCCGTATTCTCCCACTAACAACAGCAGATTGGGCTGCATTCAGCTCTGAATAGATGTCTGGTTTGAGCGTGTGGGTGAGTGTGCATTTACTGGGAGAGTTACCAGACCCATTTGAAATGACTGGACAAGAAATGAGGGTACCCATACTAGGAAACACACTCATGAGTATGCACTGAAGTCACAACAGAGATGGACCATGAGTGAGATTGTGTGTGTATATGTGTGTGCAGTCAGGGGTGCAGGCTGTTTATCATTGCCACACAGGGGAAAAGATGCAGTGTAATTCCCTGATGTGTGTTTACTCAGCCCTAGTGGGCTGGCCTTTGCTTACACCACTGACCACACAATATGAGTAACTGTTCACTACTCCTCCAAATGACACACACATGTAGACAACATACTGGAAACAATGAAAAGACCTGACGAGTGATGGCAAAACAAAACTGAAATCTTACAGTTTGAAGCAAACAGAGACTAAAACACACATCCGAACCTTTGCCAAATTCATCCCTTTACACTCTTCCATCGCTGCAACGGTGGATTTTAGTGTGGCGTTTTTCACATCAGACGCCAGTTTTCCCATGAGTTCAGATGTAATTATAAGCTGCGCAGGGCTCAATTAAAGGTTGAAGACGTCAGAGTGAGTGAGCAGACCTCCACCACTGTGTGTCAGAGAGCCAGCAGAGGTTGAGGGAGAGTAGTGAAATGAGGCCTACATGATTTATGTTATGTCCTCTCCTTACACCAGACGCCCACATTTCCCTCTGTGGAGCATAACTATATGTGTGTGTGTTTGTTGCTTCTTCTGTGTTTTTCTCCCGGGTCTAATGAGTCAGCCTGGGAAGCCACACCCTGTTGCCCCCTGCTTGTTTTATCAGTGCTCCAGGTAAAAGGACCAGTTAGTGGGTAAGCTCAGGTTCCCTGACCCACTGACCCTACAGCACTGCAGGGAGTCTCGTACAAAAACAAGCAACATCAGTTCATTTTACATCAAACGCTTCAAGCTACTTTTCTACTCTGACTTACTATCAGTTGCTCTCCCAAGCCTCTAATATTATTCACAGGATCTCATTACAGTTTTATCAGTGTCCTCAGTGCACCATAGTTGGGATGAAAATTAGGCACTTGGACTTGAAACTATAAATGGTGTTCACATACTAGGCTTAAAAACAGCCAGTTCAGCAAATTTGGCTTTTGTTCTCAATGGCCTTGCCTGGTGTGAGCTCTAGTAGGTAGGTACTAACAAGCTAAAAACTGCAGCAAATTACCATATTTAGTTTTTCTTTCAACATTTTTGAGAAGCTCTTCATGGGTGGCAGCTCTGAGTTGCATGTGGAACTAATATTCCTTCTAAATACCCACCCGCCCACCAAGTAAAAAGTATGACTTTACTCAGAGGCTCTGTAAAACAGCACACCTTGCATTTATGTCTGGTTGAAAACATACACTTCACGTCAGCATATCCAGGCAGCCAGTAGCTTGTTTCCAGCCATGACTGTGATGATTATCAAGTTTACCTAAAGACATACTGTATCACACATACTGTGTCTGTCAGCTGTCTGGTCTTTCTGTTATTATTTGAATCTATCGAGTTAAATGCTGCTAACCTACTGTAGTCTCTGAGCAGACTCCCATGTTTCAGCTCACCTGATCTTCTAACAAGACCATCCATAAACTACACATAATGTACTTTGAGCTAAATGTTACATCAAAAAGCTACTGTAACAAGTTCACAAGGACAATGGTTGATGCAAAAACATAGCTAACATGTTTAGTGTGTTAACATTTGTACATTAGCACTAACCAAGACATTAGGATTCATCATTTGGGGACCATGAATGTCTGTACAATTTCATGGCAATCTCTCCAATACTTGTTGAGATATTTTGCTGTGAACCAAGGTGGTGGACCGACACAGACAGACCGACAGAGCCAAGCAGTTAGCACAGCTAAATAAAAGCTACTCTGAGAGGCAGCGGTTCCCACTATAGCTCCTTTTCTGTTTGTCACTAGAAGTGCTTTACAGAAAAAACTCCCAAGATATTATCTTGTCCATCCCCTGTCTCACACCCCGTTAAGAACGATCACAATGAGTCTAAAGAGAGCCAGACTGTCAGTGAGTGACTCTGCCAACGTACACCTCCTCCAAGAGATATCCCTTATCTTGTCCTGTAGAGTGGGCCTTACCAGATAATGAAAGACTCAAGTGTAATTATGTGAACTTTTCAACATAACTCTGTAATAGCCAGTCTGAGTGTATCGTCCTCCCTGCTGGACAGAAGCCCATGGCTGGATAGAAGAGCACAGAACAGCTCAGGTTTCTCTGATTCCCCACTGGTATTTCTCTATAAAGGCCTTGAGGCAAGCTAAGATAACAGCTCACACATGGCTGTATCACATAACTCTAATGTAAATACAGTAATAAATATGATATTGTAGCATCTGAAAAAATAATCAAGGATGACAGCAAAGAGGATACTCACAGCTTCTCCAAAGCATAAAGTCCAAAGAAGGATCCATTTCTCAGAACTCGGATTTTGTTGTGGCTTAGTATCCTGTAAAAAAAAAAAAAAAAAAGGCAGAGTATTGTTAAGAATATTCCACCTAGGCTGAATGGAAACATATTCTTATCATGCTAAACTCAAATGTCTAACCACTGTGTTTAACCAAACACACAGTGAAGGGTCACAAGAAAAGGATAAGAGCCAAAGTGTAATGTTCACATGGTTCTGGAGTCACAGGAGAGACTATCCAGACCAGAGACATTAGCCAAAGATGTTTCCAATTAATGTTAAAGAGGTAAGAGAGCATCAAGATTAGCAGGGAAGCTGCAATCTTGATAATCATTTTGCAAAGACTTTTACATCAAAAGGATGTCATTCCACATCAAATGAATAGCAGTACTAAAGGATTCTTATCAGGCCAGAGGGCAGAGGGCTTCAGGACACACTGGGATTATGGAAAAATATATTTACAGAATCTGTCTCCTCTGAGGGACATGGTCAAAGTCAGTTAGAATAGACGTTTATATAAATTTTGCTCCTCCATACAAACAGTATTGGACAATAAAATGAGTGAAAAAAATTGTCTATAAATTCTTATAGTGCACAGACATTGAAGGAAGTCTGTATAGTGCATAACCTTGGCACAGGATACTGCATAGTGCATCATTAAAGCACAGTGCAGACTTTTTCAATATCCATTCGAGACAAGCTTCTCCCTGCTACTGCAAATTTGTTGTTTATGTACATAATTTTCAGGTTCAGTATTCATGGGTCTGGGCCTGTGGCTCCACAGACGCGCCCATGTCCACCCAGCAGGAGCTAGGGTAGGGTAGGGGCCCCGGACTGAAGAGATACCGCCATCATTAACACACCCTTTAGTTTCACATCATCTTCTCCCCTACCACATGGTGCTTAATGGGCTGTTTGCAACATTAAGAGTGGGCTTAATAGAGAGAATGGAGCTGTCTGTGTGCTTTAAAAGTGGGAGCTGACTGTGAACAGTCTGCGAGATTTACAGATTCAGCAGCAGCAGTCAGTCCCCTAGTTTCCTGCCACATCAATAAAAACACTGCCTTCAGCTCTGCTTCTTCCAGTTCAGTTAATGACCAGCCTGACTGACTTCTCTTTAGTCACTTTACTGAAAGCCACATTATTAGGATGATTTGATGAGATAAAAAAATGATCCATAGAAGCAGAAAAAAAAGCCAACATGGAAAGTATATCATCTTCTGCTCCATTTATCCAGAACACCTCAGTTTGTATCTTCCTACAATTATCTACCAAAATTAGACATCAGAGAAATATATTTTTGAGTTGGGTTGCAACCAAGAAATGAGAGTTGCTCCACTGATAATCACTATAATACAGAAAGTGAGACCCCTCTGACTATTTTACTAGCATTTAAGCCAAAATCATTCTTATTTTAAGCTGTGCTGTAAATGCGTGCTATATCAATAAACTTAAAAAAAAAATCCACATTCATGTCCAAAGCTGAAGCGTCAGAACCTGACATCATCCCATACCCGGCCTTATTTGTAACTTGGTTAAAAAAAAACATGTCATGTTCATAAATCCACACAGAATTGTTGGAATAAATCACATTAAGTCAAGACATTTTTAGAGTGGATGTTAGATGAGAGCATTCCTCTCGTGGTGTAGCCTGAATTTGAACCCATGACTCCCGGCCCTTAAGGTCTCTCGCTTGACTTTGGGCACAGAATCTCTCCAATAACTGGATGCAGGCCCGAGATGAAAGCTATAGAAGATCCGGAACTGCCTGAATAATTCAGTGCAGATAGAAGAGGAGAAAGTCACATCTGGTAAAGAAACAAGCCATTTAATTCAACACAGACAGTTTAGATACAGATAGTTCCTTTTTGACTAAGCTGATTATGCAGAAAAAACTATTAGTCAGAGGACTGTGCACGTTTGGTTTTAGTGTGCATGAACATGATAAGATTACTGTTTAAGAACACAATCTGACCTTTCATATAATTACAGTAGGATCTACAGAGTAAAAGCCTGTACAGATGTCTTAGTGTGTTGTGTTCATGTGCACAAATCCACGTGTCATCCTTTCACAACAACCCTCATTTGTCTCAAGTTAAGACATTTCCACACATAATATTTCAATTATTTTGCTACCCTGTACACCAGGACTTGAAAGCAAACGTTCACAAATGAACAAAGACCACAAAATGAGCTAACTTGATCCCTCCCACAGACAACAAAAGGTTAGACAATTTCCAAGAATGCAGGGAGTTGAAGAGGCTGGACACTACTGTACAGTTTCTTACAGCCTGGTGTTTGGAGAATGTTATAGTAAAGGACATTGTTCTTTCATAAACAATACAGAGAGTACACGTCTGAGAAAGAGAGAGGCAGAACTCTGTAAACAGACAGAAATAGTTGGTGCTCCCATCAGGCTAAACAGGAAACCCAGCCAATTAGCTGTTTATTCGGAACTTGGTTTCAGAGGTCAGGGGTTGTAGGGAGAGCACTTCCTGGACAGCCATCAGACAGACGGAGCAGTGTCCGGCGAGGGCGAGGCAGATGACAGCTGAGGCGTATGAGTGCATCACTTTATCACTGGAATATGCAAAGGTTGACAGAGCTTTACAAACAAAGACAATTAGTAGTAGCTTCTTAATCACAGTCCACACTCCTACAAGGCCTGTTAGGTACTGTAGTACTACTCTTTCTAGTTGACATAAGTGACAGATTAGATTTCAGATGAATTCATCTACTTTCCAGAGCAAGGAGCTGTATCAGACATGACAGGACAGTGTGTTAATTCAGTCCAGACTATGGATGGTATCTCAGAGCAGTTAGCATCTTTCATTCACTTAACCCTCTTAGACCACAAGAGCCTCTGAGAATTCATATGGGTTAATTGAATCCAACTAATGTGTTCAAGAAACCAGGGCCACATGTGAGGCTCCAGGATCCCATTTAACCATTTTATCTAATTCATTTACATGAAATTAAAAAAAAAACTGAGGGTCATATAAAAGCAGCCAGTCCAAACAGATGCACAGACACCAGCTTCCCTTGTGTAGTAGAGGGATTAAACTGAGTCAGTGAAACTACAGTAGACACCAAAACCACACACAGATGAGTGACAAGATCTGAATAAATGAGTAGAGAAATAGAATCACTGCACATGCTGGCATGGTTTGGGTCCATTTATCCCCTCAGAGGGAAGGGTCACTGCAAATCAATACAAAGTTTTTCTGAGTGATCACCTTTATCGAATGATGAAATCTTTCTATTCTGATGGGAGAGGTCTCTTCCAGGGTGACAATGCTCCCATAAAGGGTACGAGGGCTTGCTGAATGAATTGGTGAGTATGAAAATGATGCAACTCATACGCTATGGCTTTCACAGTAAACAGATCTCAACCCAGTTGAACACAACACTCTCCACACCACAATCAAAACACCAAATGAAGGAATGCATTTTAGAAGAATGGTGTTCATCCCCCCCAGTAGAGTCCAGAGACTTGAGGAATCAATGCCAAGGTGCACTGGAGCTGTTCTAGGGGACAACACCTTACACAAGCTACTCAGTGTGAACAATGATAAACCTGAAGCTGTTACATTAAGTTAGCCTGAGCTCAAGAAAAGTTATTCAGTGTCTTTGCATGGTGCTGCAAGAGGGAAAACATTGTACGTTTTATATAGTTGGTTTATATTTTTGCACAAATATTTTTATAATTTATAACCTGGGCCCTAACATGCTGTCATATAATCAAAGTAAGAAAATATAAAAAAAAAAATGTGTGGCCAACATTTTCTATTTTGACTTGTTTGATTCAGGTGAGCTCTCTTGCACATTTCTGGATAAATTCTAGTCTTTGTAGAGAAACTGTGATTAGGAGGAACAACCTTAACTATACTATGTCATGCTACAGGTAGTGTAAATAATTCAAGATAGAAAAGTGCAGAAAACTTGGCCTAGAATTTCAATGCTGTATCACAAAGTTCAAATAACTAAAACATGTAATCAAATGTGTGCAGATATATTCAACACGCCCTTAAAACTGATTCTGTATTAGGTGAACTGAATGTTAATTTTACGGAAACATATTGAACACAATGTAGTGTTTTTCTGTGGTTATTTCAATTCATAGTTATTAAAATAACAGTAAGGCTACCAGTATGCCTTATGTTTCAGTATTAAGTGCTATAGCTCAGTATTAACTTGTGGTTTCTTTGGTGTGCAATGAAGTGTGAAAACGTAAAAACCATGCAGTCTTGTCTAGTAAACCACAGCCGCTCCTCCCTGTACCATGCCGCTCACTTTTTATTTGCTCAGTTTGCTTCCTAAACTCACAAAGCCTCTGAGGACCACATGTGTGGGAATGACAGCATGTTGCAAATCGTGTTTGTTCACCGATTCACTTCCATTCTTCCTACTGACTCTTAAATGGAAGGCTGTCTCACTGTAACATGCTGCCTCAGCTCTGTGGGAAAGCCTGATGTGTGTGTACCTGTGTGTACTGTAAAATAGAGCTGTCTGTCATATGCTTCCTACAGCTACTTCTGGTTTTGGGTCATTGTCAACCGACCATTTAACCGAGGAAACGTCTCTGTGGCGGAGCTGGGAAGGCCTGTGCCGACACAGAAGGCAGCAGCAGAGCACAGTCCTTTCAGCTTTCCAGATCACAACCTGGTGCAGAGGGACAGAGAGGGAAAACACATCCGTCTATCTTATCCCCTAACCACAGACAAAATGCTGCAAAGCCAAGCACAACAGGATGTTCTGTTTGCAGCCGGTTACCACTGAAAGTTTGGTGTCAGTACTTCTGCACCCTTCATCCTGTCTCTGACTTAAAGCTTCTGTTTAAAGTGCAAGCATACAGTATACAGGAAATGCTCCATCTCGGTTTGGCATTAAGTCCAGGATGTGAATGAGATGCATTGAAGTAAAAATCACTGATTCTCACTGGCCCCTGTTGCCCTCCAAATATTTGGGCATGCTGGTCTCACATAGTATGTCCTCTGTAGCTGTAGGCCTGTACAGCCAGCCACAAACAGGGAAAAGGTCTT